CCCTCCCCAATTGTTCTTGGTGCCCAGGGCCCAATTAAGCGGCCGCAGCGCTCCCTGCAGCCCGCGCTCTTATCGGCGGGGATTGATGCCTCCGCGGCTCCTGTATATCATTTCCAAGATTTTTTCTGTCCAACTCTTCGGCTCCTTTGGCTTCCGCGGCTTTGACTAATGATTGCTACAGATGCCAACGTCTCCAGAATCCTAATAACCAGGCAGGCGGACTCTTATTTACCCGGCAACATTGCTGCGTGGGGGTGGGGGGCGAAGGGGGTTGGGGTGTTGTAGGTCGGAGGACAGGGAGAAGGTTGTGACCAACTCAAGTTTCACCGAACTTCTTCCCCAGTGAGAAAGACATTCCCAAGTCCCTCCTGTCCCTGAGGGGGTAAAATATAATCAGAAAATGCTGCTAATAGTAACTCATGGCTTGCCTCATTGCAAGGGCTCAAAGAATGAACCGGACGTGGGAGAATAATCAGAGAAGTGTTTATTAGTTGTAGACAGATGAGAGAGTAAGCGGAAAACCAGCGGTTTGGGGAGGAAAGAGAGTGTTTTCTTCCGGAGAGAGAGACGGGGAAAGAGGTCAGCCACGGTGGGCGCAGGGGCTCCTTTTCTTTATTCCATGGCTCCCCCTTCCTCTCCCCACCCCAGATCCACACTTGTCTTAAATGCAAGTTCCTTCCCTCTTCCCCGCCCTTCACCTCACCTTCAGTCCCTCCGGCGCGGGGGCCGCTGCCCCGCGTGCTGCCGGACGCAGGTGCCCGCAGCCGGGCGCGCTGGGGCTGCCAGGGCGATGGGCCTCGGTCTGGGGCTGGGAGGCAAAAGCAGACTCCGCGGCCAACTGCGGGCTGGGGGCCGGCCGCCCTGCGCTCCCGCTGGCGCTCGGTGGCGGAAAGTTGTGGCCGAATTTGCTTGTCCCGGCGCTTCTGGCCCTCCCTCCGGCGCGGGGTGGCTCTTTGGGGGAAGCGGCTGGAGCTCCCCGCCGAGCCTGGAGCCAGGCGTGGTGCTGCCTCGGGTCCCAATCCAGACCTTCCAACACACGCCACATTCGGGCGAAGAGAAAACACAAAAACGCGGAGCAGCCCAGCTCCGGGCCCAGGCATGGAGTGATAACTCACACATGGAACATTTTTCTATCAGAGGATAATGGAGCACAAAATAATTCAGGAAGGCGAATGGGCAGGGCCCGAGTAGCAGAGCCCGGCGGCGTGGGGCGGCTGCAGCCCGGGCCGCGCCGAGAACCGTGGGAGGACCATTTCGTTGGAGTGTAGGGCGAGGCAGCAGCCCGGACCGGACCCAGGCCACCCGAGGGGCAGCCTCTAAATTACAGCCCGTCAGGAGGACTCGGAAACACAAAAAGAGAGCCGAAAGATTTAAACAGTCGGAGGCAGAGGCGTCCCGACGCGACCAAAGCGAAAATCAATCACGTAATTAAACCGGGGAGAGGGCGAGGCCCAAGGCTGGGGGGTCCAGGGTTCGGAGGAGGAGTCCAAGGTGCGGGGCCGAGGCCGGCGAGCGGCCCGGGGATGCGGGCTCGCCCGCCGGGGCCAGAGCGCGGAGGGGCTGCGGGCAAGTTTAGAGCAGATCGCAACTGATTCCCGCTTGGCTGGGAAGAACAGGCTGCCTGTCCTCTCCCAGGCCCGATCCAGAAGCCACCGGTGGCCCCTTCTCGGGCCCCCCATTTTTATGGAGCTGGGGTTCGGGGTTAAAGGCTGCTCCCCATGGTCCAGTGGTGCCAGGGATGTGTCTAGGGAAGTTTGTCGGGGAGCCCAGGGGGCACCAAGATGCTGCCTCTGGGTTTGAGGAGATGGAGGGAGGTGGCACCCCGGTTTCAGGCCCTTACATAGTGGCCTGGGCCTTGATTCCCCCAACCCAGGAGTCAAGGCAAGCCTCTGGAATGACTCCCCTCTCTGGGCCAAGGCTGGGAAAGGGAGTAGGAGGCAGGTGGGCTTTATTAAAGGAGAAACTTGGGGCTGAGCAAACTGGGCCCCTTTGGGCAGGGAAGGAGAAGGGACAGTTCCTGGAAGAAGAAAATGAGGCACACTCGGAGCTCTGTGTCGTGAGGGAATGATGCTCTTGTTATTATAGAGGTTAATAATGGTAATGATCTTGCATGGCTGGGTCAGCCCGGAGAGACCAAGCTCTCCACAATCCTTTCTCACAGAGGTTTTTCTGGACAAGTCAACGGGGCCCCAACTTGGTTGTGGTTGGGGAGAATAAAATAAAGACCTTCCCTCCCCTCCCCTGCCCTTTCCTCTCTGACTCCTTGAGGACTCCAGAAAACAAGGGCATCTTATTTTTTAAAAAATCTCCATCACCCCCCCACCCCCATTAGTTTCCTCTGTTCTTTCCAGTTCACTAAAATGCACTGTCTTTGGGCGGTGGGCTTTCCTGGAGTGCCCTTCTCATGAAACAAGCAGTTACAGATCCTGTCTCTGACCCTGGAGGAGAGAGACCCGGGATTCTCTTGCCTGCTCCACGGAATTCTCCTTCTATCCTTAGCCTTTCTCAGTCTCTGCCTTCCTTGGTCCTGGGTGCCTGATCCCATGGGTCTCTGGCAGCTCAGAGGCCAAGAACAGATTGAGCCATTTTGAGATGCCCTCATCAAGCCCCCAAAGGGTTCCCAGCCTCCTATCATTTCCTTAATTCTGGAAGCACCAGGCCAAGGAACCCACCATAAGCTACCCTAAAGCCAGCCTAATTCCTAGAACTTTCAAAACTGCATTTCGCCTCCTTTAAAAATAAGTCCTTTCCCCCCCTCTCACAGGAAAGTTTAGGTTACAAATCTCCAGCAGCGCAAGCTTCCTGCAGCCGCAAGTCAGAATTTTCAGCAGTAACAACAAAAATATTAATAATAAAAAGAATTAAAGCTTGCATCAAAGGCAGAAAGGGACACCCCAGCTCAAGTTTTAAAGGGGATATAATCCAGCAGCAGAGTGGGGGTCAGTGAGGCCAGGATGAGCAAGGAAGGGGGTGGGGAACCCAACCTCTAACTAACAATTTCTCCAGCATAAAAATGAAACATCAAATTCGTTAGCCCAGGGCCTTCATTTTTCCCCTTCCACATTATAACTAGTTATTGAACTCGCTGGAAGATCTAAAGGCCATTTGCGAAGAGACAAATTTCAATGGAGTTTCCCCATCAATAACCCCATGGCAGTGACCTATTGGAACAAGTCAAACACCCGAGGTGAAATGCAGGTCACTCTGTCTAACCAATATTAAAATGCGGCCACTTTTTAAAAAGCCACTTTAAACGAGATTTGAGGAAAATTGAATTCCAAGGAAGGCAAGGCAAGGAGGGGGAAATCCACTAGAGGACCTTGCCTATGGTCTCCGAACAAACAAGAGAAATCCATCTTTAATATTTTAAAGGGGGCCAAATTAACATTCCATGATTGCTTTTTTTTTTTTTTTTTTTTTTTTGAGACTATAGCGATTCCAGGAGGAAAAAAAAGGTTTAGTATTTTCTGGTGACACGTCCGGGTTATTAAAATCATTTTAGACTAATTCATTACTTTTACTGACAAGAGATTTAAGAAAAAATCAATTAAGCATTTGCATATTCTTTTGCATACATTACCTCTGCCTGCTGGCATTAGAAAGGGACAAAAACACACATACATACAAACACACACGGCAAAAAATGAGATAAGGGTCTTGCTGTAGTTTGGGGTTTTCAAGTTGCTTGGAGAAAAAATAAAAATGAAGTGAATTACTTGATTGCATACCATCTAAAAGTCAATTTATTTGAGGAGAGGGAAAGAGAGGTGTTGCGATTTTTAATCTCTAAAACAACAATAACAAAAGCACATCATACACACACACAAAATCCTGCACTTCTGAGAGTGGGAAAAGGAATGACCCTCATTTTCCTTCTCTTTGCCCTCCAAATCCTGAGTTGGTTCTCCCATTTCTTTTTTTCCCTAGGAAAATCCAGGGAGTCTGAGAGGTGAGAATTTAATGCAGCACAGAATGTGCGGAGCCGCTGAGGTCCCTCAGCCGGCAGCTTGTTACTGGGGAGGGGGGGAATATGGGTTATCCAACGGTCAGTATGGTAATCCGGGCACAATAAGGCCTTGCACACAATGGACACATATTTTTCTTCAGCGGTGTCAGAAGGGAAGCGCTTTGTACTGAAACATGTTTCCGAAAGAGAAACCAGATCGAGATTTAGAAAGGAGATGGGGAGGGTGGCATTCAGAGAGCGCTTGGAAGCTGGCAAAGGGTGGTCAGAAAAAATAAAAAATAGAATTGGGGCAGAGAGAGGTGGATGGCAGAGCGGGAGTGGAGATCCTTAGGCTGGCAAGACAGGAGCAGGAGGGCAAAGCACAAAAGGAGAGAGGACCAGATACAAGGACTCATCACAGGCAAGAGCTGCTTGAGTGCCCCCCCCCCCATTAAGCCAATGCTAAGTGCACGAGCTCTCCAGAGGGATTTTATTTCTGTGCTTGTAATAATATCCAGGTGAAAATGTTTGCATGTACGTGTGTGGTAGAGTCTGGCTGGCTTGCTATTTTCCCCTTGTGATAGGCAACTTCCTTGCTATTAAAGTACAGGCACCCAAAAAGAGTTTTTTGGCAAATGATGTAGATGAATGTGGCAAATTTGGAGGATCTCCCAGATTTCATTTTCTGGAGGTGCATGTTGAATTAGCTGTGCAAACCTGGGATGAGAACCCCACCTATTTATGGCTGCATAAGGAGGCATTTAATGTATTAATAAGTATTAACAGGATGTATGCATATATATTTGTTAGCTGTGATAACCAAAGACAGACTTGACATTCAGCTGGAGGCAACTGAACTCTCTGTATCTACTTATACATATTGGTCCAAAGTGGGTTTCCTGCTCCGGCTCCCTTGACCCACCTGCAGGAGCTCAGAATCCTGGGGAGTGGGGGCGTAGGATGGGCAACGCCTTGGGAAGAACTCCCTAACAAGCCCAAGAAGGTGAAGAGATGGAAGAAAAGAGGGTTGTCACGGGGCGGGGGGTGGGCAGGACTGGTAGAAGGTGAGTGTGAGGGCTGGGAGCAGAGGAGCCAGGCCAACACCTCACCTTTCCAAGGTGAGTAAGAGAATATTCTGGGCCAGGATTGGGTGGGGCAGCCTGATCCAGGGGCTGGCCTGAAGGGAGGTTGGGGGTGGGGCTGGAAGGCTTTCTCCTCCTTCAGCAACCCTCCCCCCACCCTACCTGAGCTCTCCGGAGCTTTGGCCCTCCCTGGGGGGCAGTCTGGGGGCTGTGGTTCAGACTCTTTATGTAGGGCAGCATTCAACATTGGTTTCCCTTTGCCCTCTTTCAGCAACTTATAATTAACCCACCCCTACCACCAAAAATTACAACAAATAAAACCCTCCCAGGCTCCAAACCACTATCAACCAAGCAGCAGCCTTCCCCTCCCCACAGTTTCACATTCCTCTTCCGACCCAATTGGCCAGTCCTCAATGCAGACGATCCCAGACAGGAATGGGGAGGGACCCACTGGGAAATTTGGGACTCTCTTCTGAGAGACGGTGGCCCTCCAGGGAATTCCTGTTCCCTCACCTGCCTGGTGGTAGGGGGACAGGGCATTGTCCTCCTGGGGAGAGGGTATCCAGGGGCCCCCAAGCCTGGCTCCCAGTGAGCCTGGGGTGAGGAGAGACTCGGCACTGGAGGATAGAGGGTGGCCAGCGGGCCCAGGCGGTTCTCATTCCTGCCCTCAGGGTGAGCCCTCATTTGAACGTGGGGACCCCCTCTCCCACATCCCTAAGGTGGTGAAAGACAGGTGGGGAATCTCCTGCCTTCAGTCTCCCTCTCACGAGGGCTTTATTTTTTTTTCTCCCTTTCCCCTCCTCATTCCCTTAATTGCAGATGTTCTAATTAAACCCTCAAATAGTTGTTATGCCGTTTTAAAAGGTACTTATTCAAGTGTCAACCAGGCTGGGCTGGTAGGAGGCAGCGTAGGGCGGCGAATTAAAGGTAGATTGACTAATCACGGCGGCGATCATAATAATAAAATCAGAGGGAAAAAAATCACATTACGACTTTTCGTGGAAAGGAGGGAGCAGGCAGCCAGCGGCCGCCAGCCCTGCGCCGCCGCCGACACAAAGAGTGCGGGCGATTCCGCGAGACTGATTTATGACGTTTTACAGCCCTATAAAAGCTGTAGCGACGAGGCAAGCGCTCCTACCACCGCTGGCAGATTTAGTCTAATAAATAAAACATAAACAGTTAACTTTATGTGTCACTTTTATTGTTATCAAGTAAAATATAGCCGAGCCCCGGCAAGCTATGATTTTAAACTATAATTGTTATCAAGTACAACAAGGGGACCCAGCTCCCTCCCTGGGCTCTCCCTTCTGCCACCCCCCAACTCTGAGTTATGGGATCAGCTAATTGGAATTAGTGGCACGACGTGGCCACCCCTGGCTGGGGTGGGGGGGCATCAGAAAAAGCAGCCCTTTCTTGCCCCCTCCCTTCTCCATGGCCCTGCCACCCCACCATCAGGGTATTCCTGTGGGTGGGTGGCAGAGAGAGGGGAGCGGGTAGGAATGGACTGGAGACCCCCAAGTTCTGCCCAGCCTCCCCAGCTTGGTGAGCTCACCCCTCAGCTTTTGGAAAGCAGCCTGGAGCCGGCCCTTGGGAATGTGTGTTTACATGTAAACACATGTGTTACATGGATACAATCCCTGGCCGGAAGCAGGCTCTGCCCACACAGGCCTCCCCCTTAGCTAGGTCGGCGCTCTGTGGGGATGAAGCAAGAAGAGCTCCCAGGGCCTTGGCTGGGCACCATCGCAGGGCACTGACCCCTGGCAGATCCCTCTCCTCCTTGCCGCAGGTCCTTAGGAACCAGCCCTGGAGGTAGTTGTCAGAAAGCAGCAGGCCCAACGGAATGAGAGTGGAAACAGCAGTGAGCAGAAGAGATCCTCCGCTCTGGGGCCGGGGCAGGGAGGGTCAGTGGGTACTAGGGGAGGAGGGCAAGGCTTCTGAACTCTGCTTTTGCCAACCACTTCCTGTCTCTCTTCAGCGGGGGGCTCAACCCCCAGGCCTCCAGAAATGACGTCAGAATCCTTTGCATCCCGCTGCCTCTACCTGCCCGGTCAGGCTGGGACCCTGCCTCGCCAGCCCCATGGCCAGAGGGTTGGGTGAGTGTGTATGGGGAAGGGGGCAGGACTCTGGTATCCTTGGATGGGGGGCACCCCAGGCTCTCCAGCCTCCTGGGCTCAGCCTGGGCCCCTCCCCATCCAACCTCCACTCCAGTCCTCCTCATTCAACTTCCTCTTCCTGCAAAAGAGGGGCGCTGCCCGGTGACCTACACAGACTGAGACAGGATCAGGATCGCCATGAATGGAGACCTCTGGAAAAGCTCTGGAGCCGAGGCCCAGGGGGCCCACCGGAGGCCCACGGGGAGACCCTGGGAGGGGGCTGAACCGCAGCCTCCCCACAGCCCCCCAAAGCCCAGGCTTTGGAAGGGAGCTGAGGGCTTCCCATCCCCTTTTGCAGGGGAGGGCTGTCAGTCGGCGGGGTGCGCACTGGGGGCACCTCAGCCCCCACCGGCTAGCCCCACATCACCACCACCACCGCCCCGAGCACCACCACCACCACCACCACGCACAAAAAAAATTGGATACATTTTGAATAAAGCGATTCGGTTCCTTATCCGGGGACTGGGTTGCTCCGTGTGATTGGCCGGCGGAGTCACATGGTGAAAGTAACTTTACAGGGTCGCTAGCTAGTAGGAGGGCTTTATGGAGCAGAAAAACGACAAAGCGAGAAAAATTATTTTCCACTCCAGAAATTAATGATCATGAGCTCGTATTTGATGGACTCTAACTACATCGATCCGAAATTTCCTCCATGCGAAGAATATTCGCAAAATAGCTACATCCCTGAACACAGTCCGGAATATTACGGCCGGACCAGGGAATCGGGATTCCAGCATCACCACCAGGAGCTGTACCCACCACCGCCTCCGCGCCCTAGCTACCCCGAGCGCCAGTATAGCTGCACCAGTCTCCAGGGGCCGGGCAATTCGCGAGGCCACGGGCCGGCCCAGGCGGGCCACCACCAGCCCGAGAAATCACAGCCGCTCTGCGAGCCGGCGCCTCTATCAGGCGCCTCCGCCTCCCCGTCCCCAGCCCCGCCAGCCTGCAGCCAGCCAGCCCCTGACCATCCCTCCAGCGCCGCCAGCAAGCAACCCATAGTCTACCCATGGATGAAAAAAATCCACGTTAGCACGGGTAGGCAACTTTGCTTTTTGCTCTCCCCCTCCCTCCCCTCTTCCCAAGCGCTCCCCACCCTCCCCGGCCCCCGCCGGCCCCCGTCCTCCTTTCTCTCCTTCCCCCTCTCTCTCCAGGAGCGACTCTGGGTTAGCACAATTGAACTGGATTTACGAGCGAGAATGGGTAATTACATCCCCCATAAATTTTATGGCTTAGCTACTCTGGGCAGTCCGAGCCATGTGCTACGATCTGTTATGTATGTGTGAAAACTATGCTCGCTTTCTAAGGGCGCATAAATAATTCAGTGTCGTTACAATGAGGATTCCCCTCTTATTACACTACAAAGTCTCCAGCTTCCTTCAACTTCTTTATAACCCATTTAGCTTGATGACTTTATTTCCACCACCCCTCCTCCTGTTCCACAGAGCTGAGGATGGGGTGGGGGGGGCGGGAGCCTGCTGCCTCTGAACCCCACTATTTGCTTTTCCCCCTCCTCCTCCCCCCAGTGAACCCCAATTATAACGGAGGGGAACCCAAGCGCTCGAGGACAGCCTACACCCGGCAGCAAGTCCTGGAATTAGAGAAAGAGTTTCATTACAATCGCTACCTGACCCGAAGGAGAAGGATCGAGATCGCCCACTCGCTGTGCCTCTCTGAGAGGCAGATCAAAATCTGGTTCCAAAACCGTCGCATGAAATGGAAGAAGGACCACCGACTCCCCAACACCAAAGTCAGGTCAGCGCCCCCGGCCGGCGCTGCGCCCAGCACCCTCTCGGCAGCCACCCCGGGCACTTCTGAAGACCACTCCCAGAGCGCCACGCCGCCAGAGCAACGGGCAGAGGACATTACCAGGTTATAAAACATAACTCACACCCTGCCCCCACCCCGTGCCCCCGTCCTCCCCTCACACACAAATTGACTCTTATTTATAGAATTTAATATATATATATTTTTTGGTTCTTTTCTCTCTTCCTCCCACCTTGTCCCTTGTCAATTCCAAACTGACAAAACAGATAAACAAGCCCTCTGCCCTTGTCTCCCTTCCACTGTTAAGGACCCTTTTAAGCATGTGATGTTGTCTTAGCATGGTACTTGCTGGGGGTTTTTTGTTGTTGTTGTTTTTATTTTTTTTAAGGCCATTTTGGGGGGTTATTTATTTTTTAAGGAAAAAGCTGCAAAAATTATATATTGTAAGGTGCGATGGTCTGGTTTGGGTGAATTTCAGGGGAAATGAGGAAAAGAAAAAAGGAAAGAGAGATTTTTAAGCCAATTCTCATCCTTCTCCTCCTCCTCCTTCCCCCCTCTTTCCTTAGGCCTTTTGCATTGAAAATGCACCAGGGGAGGTTAGTGAGGGGGAAGTCATTTTAAGGAGAACAAAGCTATGAAGTTCTTTTGTATTATTGTTGGGGGGGGGCTGGGAGGAGAGGGGGGACGACAGCAGACAAAGCTAAATGCATCTGAAGAGCCTCTCAGAGCTGTTCAGTTTGAGGAGCCAAAAGAAAATAAAAATGGACTTTCAGTTCAGAGAGGCAGTCTATAGGTAGAAACCCCCCCACCCCACCATCGTGGTTATTGTGTTTTTGGACTGAATTTACCTGATTATTGTAAAACTTGCAATAAAGAATTTTAGTGTCGATGTGAAATGCCCCGTGATCAATAATAAACCAGTGGATGTGAATTAGTTTTACGTCAATGTCTGATGGTTTCTTTTTATCCCCCTCCTCCTTCTGGCCTGGTAACATCCCACCTTCTCTATAGTTGCCTGCGTTTAAGCAAACACACAAATCTTAACTCTCAACTCAGTTTTCCAATGTCCTTAGACGAACCAGCAAGGGGGTTGGGGCAGGGGATCCTCAAAAGAGGGGATATGGAAGATTAGTGCTGATTTCTCCCGTCCCTCCCCTGAGTCTGCAGAGAGGGACATAGAGTGTGGAGCTGGGAGGGTCTCACTTTTCTGTAGTTAGGCACAGTGTCTTCTTTTTGTTGATTCCTCTCTCCCCTCTTCTCTTTTCTCTCTGCTGAGTAGGCCTGCCTGATTTGCAGACAAGAAGGCAAGTTTAAGGAGTGGAGGGGGGAGACAAGAGTTTTCATCTTTTAGGACTCTTCTGGGATGAGGGATTAAGGAAGACGCCCCCTCAATGCGCCTGTGCTTCTTAAAAGAAGGAAGATTTTTGAGCTGGTGATTCTGGAGCAGCAAAGTGACCTGTCAGGGTGGCTTCTCTGTTTGTTTAGACTTGGAAAGAAGGGTGAAGTGGAGGCCAGAGGCCCAGGAGGCCCCCTTGCATGGGTAGGCCTCAAAGCCTGATGCCTAGAGATAATGAAGAACTTTTATTTTTTTCCCTAACTTTTATCATGGACCTGCCAGGTGTTGAGAAAAGACACAGGGAAAGGCAGGGACCACCCCTCTTCCTATAAGCTCCCAGGTCCTGGCAGGGCTTGGGGATAGCTGGAACAAGGCTCTCAGGCTGTTTAAAAAAAAAAAAAAATTCAATTGTTTCCTTAGGGATAAAAAAAGAGAGAGCGAGAGAGGGGGGGAGAAACAACAACAACAAAAACTGGCCTGGATTACCTGAATAATTAATTTAAGCCAAAGGCTCCCAAATAATCCTGATCCTGAAGACCAGGCCCTAAGCAGGGCCTGCTCAAATCTTTTCTTGTTTGTTGGGAGGAGGTGGGGGTGGGTACTTGGTGGGCTTCTCAGACAGTTTATCCAAATTTCAGAATAGAGGGCTACGAGAAGTAGAAGAGAGAGGGCGAAGAGATCTGGGATTTGTAGAGGAGGCAGGGATACCCCTCTCCCCTCTCCCCAAATTCTGGAGTGAAAGGTAACAATGGGGCCAATTGTGAAAATGTGTTGTTCGGCGTGCTTTGGATTTATTTCCTCTTGAACCACTCGCTGGTTGTACTTGGAGTGGAGTGCATATGGGTGCATGCGTGTGTGTGTGTGTGTGTGTGTTTTGGGGGGAATCACTTGGTCCTGTAGGTCTACTTTCTCCTCCCTCAGTGGTGCCCTGGAGATAGCAAAACAGGATGCCTACAGTGTGAGGAAGCAGGGCCAACAATTATCTGGAGTTATTTTATGTAATCAAGTGAATTAGGGGCCAAATCTGACTGTAGCTTCTAGCATCTTGAGGCAGTTGACTTTGGGGCAGGAAAAGGGGGTCTAACCGTGCTTGGGAAAAGGGAAGGAAGGTCTGAGGGGTGGACTTGGGTGTCTTTTCAACCCTGTAAGGAAGTTTAAATGGAAAAAGAGGGGGGGGGGCGGAGAAAGAAAAGGAACTTAAGATCCATAGGCTTATTCTAACTTTGCTCCTTTGGTTTTTTAGAGGAATTTATTCCCCTCTCTTCCCCAAAGCTGAAGAGATGAAAGCGAGGAGGAGAAAAATGACTATCTTTTCTTTCTTAAGCTTCTCCCTGAACTTGCCGAAGGGACACTCTAGCTCAGGAAAGCAGTAGCAAAGGGTTGGGACAGTTCTTTTATTGGCCTTCTTTAGGGGCTTCAGCTTCTCCTCCTCTCACACGTATACACACATAGTTGTTCTCTGTCCCTCTTGGTGTGACCAGGGGAAACATCAGAAATCCCTAATTCTTGACAAATGAAACAAAACTAAACCCCCTTACATTTGAGTTTTTGAAGATTTTGGCCTCTGGCCTTCCCTCCAGTGGGCTCCATTCTCTCCTCTTCGCCCCAAACTCTCCTTTCCTTGGGCCTGACCACCCCAGAATGGGATCAGCGTCCCAGAGAGGGAGTGAGGGGCGTGGAGGGCCGACCTGGGCCCCTAGCTCCAACAGTCTGGGTCCCCGCTGCTGCTCCCCGCGATGCTGCCACAGCCTCACTGGGAAGGGCTGGAGCTTTTATTGAAGTTGGGTTGAGCAGAGGGGAAAGGCTGGGGGGGAGGGCGGGGAGGACGCAGCCCAGGTTCACGGGGAGGACACAGCATTTTCTCTCCCATCGCCTTTATACTCGGCAGCGCCTCTGACCTCTCCCCCACCCCCATCTCCGACCCTCCCAAGCCAGCTCTTGCTCAGCCCCTGGTCTCCAGATAGGACGCCACTGCTTTTGTAGGGCTGGGGATTCCTTGCCCAGAGTAATGGGAGAGGCAAGGCGCATGAATGCCTGCTAGCGCATTGTATCTCTCTCGCCAATGGCCAAGTTAAAAGAAGACGGGGTGAAAGCAGCAACGCCAATCTTCCAAGATCCTTCTCTCCAAGCACCTGGAGATCCCCACAGGTCACAAACCCCCTTGCCATGTAAGTAGTTAGCACTCGATCTGCTCAGGGCGAGGAGCACAGCAGTTACAACTCTGCCTCTGCGTGCATTTCCATATTTAGCTCAATTCCCGATCTTGGGGAGGGAAGGCGGGAAATCCAATCATGAACAGAGGGCTTCTGCTGGGGGAAAATGGAGTTTCTGTGCCGAGTCGTGTACCTGGGGAGTGAAGAAACTTGGCTCAGAAAGGAGAAGGTGGGGAGGGAAAGGGAGCCTGGGGTGGGGGAAGGCCTGGGGAGCTCGATTTCTCTGAGGGCGTCTTGAGGCTGCTCGTATGAAGTTTCCTACAAAGTTTTCTCTGCAATCTGTGCATCAGCTTTTTTTTTTTTTCATGCGTGGACTTAGCGGATTGCAGTTCAGAGCTGCCTTCCCGCTGTTAGATGGATGTGTATGTGTGTGTTTGGGGGAGTGGAATGGAAGGTAAAACAAGGGGGTTCTCCAGAGCTTGGGACCAGGGTACCCTCTGCTAGGCACCATTTGTCTACTTGTCCAAGATCAGGGAAGACAGACTCTGAAGGGGGCCCTCGAGACTGAGGGTGCTATGACGGGGAGGAGCAGCGTGCTGGGGCAATTCCACCATCTTTTCCTCTGCCTTTTGCCCAGTCCTGGGGGAGCATGCTATTGCCCTCACAGAGCTCCTTCTCATAGTTTTCCACAGCTTCTATTCCAGAGCTAATTCTGAGACCCTTCCCAGGTTTGGAAAAAGAGACAGAGGATTCCCCTCAACTCCAGCGGCCACCAGAGCAGAAGGAATATTTATTACCTCTCTGGATATCATTATCTAAGAATACAATTTTATGCACTTCCTAATCTGTTAGCCTGATTTATCTGGATGGGCAGGAACCCAAAATAAATATTTGGGGGATTTGGAAGGAAAAAAGTCTTTGCTTCTGACCAGTCTTTCTGATTGAACTGATCACCCCCCCGCCCCCCGCCACCAACTTGGTCTGCTTTTTCTACACCCCATATAGCTAGCCCCATTTAAATTTTTTCTCTGCAGCTTGTGGCTGTTTGGGGAATCGGAGTTTTAGTTGCCTCTTGAGAATTAAAAATGGCTGGGTACACTGTTTGAACCAGAGACCTGAAGGGGTCCCTCAGCCACCTTAAAATCCGGGTAGCTCTCGATGTTCAGATCCCTTTTGGATTTGGTAGCAGAGAGAAAGCAAGGTTTGCTCATCTGCCCTCCAGGTCCAGGAGCCCCTTCTCAAACCTGGCTCTGTCTCCACAGCTTAGGATTTGTCTTCTCTTCTCTCTCTGGGGTCAGCTCAGTAGCTTCTTGAACCACAGGGTCCATCCAGAAGCAGAGCCCACAGCCATGCAGACAGGGGCAAGGGCCTCTGCAGCTCCATCTTCCTGCTTCCCGGTTCCTGCAGACCCACCTAGCTGATAAATTAGGAGGCAGGGAAGACAAGGATGGGTAGGGAGGATCTCCCATGTTTGAGGGTGAATAGGGTGACGGAATCTAATAAATGGAAAGGGCTCTTTTAAATTTCCAGTCCCCATCAGCAGTTGCCAGATTTCCTAAGATGTAGGGTCCTCTAGGGTCTCTCCTGCCAGTCAGGATGGGGTAGGGGTCAGACCCAAAGAAGTGTCACCTCTGCTCACTCCTCCTTTCTGACCCTCTGCCCAGCCTCGGAGATTGGGA